GGACAAACCGTTCGTAGAGTAGTTATAAAGAGTAAATAAGCAAAACACATTGTGTAGATGCGGACACTTAATAAGAGACACCCAAGCTAAAGAGAAAATCAGTAACAAGTAGTGAAATTCCGAGAGATTACTTGTGGTCACTTCGACGACCACGCCTTCCTCTACTTTCAACAACACTCCACTCCACTCCACTCCATCTGTTGCATCTTTTGAGTTGGTTTTACTGGCCTTTCCCGCAAGATCCACTGAGCTGAAGCAGTCATGTTGAAGTCTTGAGAAGGTTGGATGTGAGGATCCCATAATTTACATCTATTATTTCCTTGAACTCTCGTATCCCCATGATCACCCCCATCAGTCAAGCAAAGAAAAGTCAGTACCTGGGTCCCTAACTTCATCAATGGGTGAAGCTTCATTCAAATACGTGTTAGGGACTGTAACAGAAGCAGTAAACACATAAGCATTTGGAAATCCCAATGCATATGAACTTTCATTTCTCAAATTTTACTGATACAATTATTGAGAAATTAGTATTTTTAATTTAAGTTATATTATACGTTATTTATACAGAAAACGGATTCATGGTATTAATAAAAACATAACGTATTAGACTATTAGTACGTTATTTATACAGAAACGGATTCATGGTATTAGTAAAAACATAACGTATAGTATAAGTTGTATAACTTAAAAACGTTACGTATATATAATAGGTGTAGAAAACATGTGTTTAATTTGATTTTGTCCGATTTACATAAATGATTGGAGAGCATGTATCGTGTGGGAGTAGTTGTTATAAGCTCACCGTCCAAGTCCCATTTCAATTTATTGAGCACGAGAAATCAACGACGACCGTGTAAATTAAAAAATCTAATTTTGGTTGGTGAAAAGTCTCTCGTGGCAATAATAGTGAAAAGATTAGTAATATACTAATATGTATTCCATCCGTTTCAATATATAAGTTGTTTTAGAGTTTTATTTTTGTTTTAAAATCTAAGTTGTTTTGATAATAGTAGATACTTTTTAATTTTATTGAATATTGTGTGATCATTAATATTTTGCAGTATTTTATATGATTAGTCAAATTATTTTTATTAGATATATCAAATAATATTTTTTAGCAGAAAGGTAGTTTTTTAACCTCACTGTTTTTGGCCGAAACAACTTATGTTCATTGCCGCGATAACGATTACGACAACTAATATTTAATCATTCTTCGTTACGTATAAGAAAAAGATGTACTATAACAGTTATTGCCAAAACTAACGATTAAACCAGTTTATTATTTTATTTGGGTACCGGGTACGCATCGGATATCTTTTGTCTCTTACCGCTCATCAAAATGTGTGAATTAATACTTTAATAACACTTATACTGATAAATTCATCTTCGTAATAATCGCCTGACGCAAACTCCAATTTTTAAATTTTGTTTTTAAGTAGTAAGTAGCTAGTAATGTTTTTCTCATCTCCTTAAGTAAACTAAAGTCTTTATACTTAAAAAGTTTAACTAAACTATTTCTTTTTTTTTAGGGTTGGATTATATTTAATATAATTAAAAAGTTTAACTAAACTATTTCAATCTTCACCATTAAGGAGGAGTATAAAGCAATATATGGACGCTTGTCTGATTTTCTCAACCCCAAACTCTCTTTCTTGTCGAGAGGTTTTTGGGTTTTCCCACCTGCAAATTATGTTATTATTATTTTATAATCAACTTGACGCGTACCAAGTTCTCTGATTCCTTTTTGATTCCAAGATATTCAAATGCGGTTTTGCTATTTTGATATTTTCACAATATAACACAATATAATAAGTTCCCTTTTTAGCTAATTAAATCCTTTTTGGCATTTATAATTTTAAAATCCCTTTTATGGCATTAACATTATATAAAATCCCTTATAGATTACAATCTTGAATTTTATAACCAATTTACAAAATTTGATTCATACATAAATAGCTAAATTTAATTTGTCACGTACCGATAACAAATAATATTGGTCCACATCATTTTGCTTTCATGACAAGACCGGCCATTTAGTGACCTAAATTTCACACCAATTATTGAAATATGAAAAACGATATCAATTCC